TGGTCAGGGCCGAATTTCTGCACAGAAGCATCATTTTAGATGAAATGCAGAAATGTGAAAAAGAACACACATGCCAGGTATATGTGAGCATCTGACACTCTGAGAAAGTGGCAGCAAGAGGTAAAGTAGAAAGAAGACCAGAATATGAGGTCTCAGACCAGCATCCTCACTTTGGCTGTGACATCATGTCATCCTGTGATTTTGGATTTAACATACCTGAGCTTCAATATCCTTATCTATTAAGTGGTTCCACTATTGGCTTCCTTCAGCCACACAAGGAATGTTTCAAGAGTCAGAAGAGACAATGTATGTACAAATATTTCCTGATTATTAAAATATCCTCTAAAAATGAACACTGTGAATATCAAGCTTCATTGTGGTTCAAGTGCACACAAAACACAGCCACATATACAAATGCATGAGGTTATGAACCATTTCTAAGTGAGGATGCGTTCCGTAAGTTCAGGCTCTACTCTTGATTACAACAGTAATAGCAGCAAGGTTTGATCATTTGATTTTCTTACTAGAGACTCTTTGGTTAGGTTGAGCAATCACTCAAAGGTGAGGCAAATGGGGAAGAATGAGGATTTCACATTTATAGTCAGATTGTGAGATTGGGGCAATTAGCTTTTGAAAAGCTAAGGAGATGTAAACAATTTCCATATGGTTTGGCTCTGTGTCTCCGTCCAAATCTCGCCTACAGTTGAGATCCCCATAAGCCCCACGTGTCAAGGGTAGGACCAGGTGGAGGTAAGTGGATCATGGGGGTGGTTTCTCCCATGCTGCTCTTGTGATAGTGAGTGAGTCTCACAGGATCTGACGGTTTTACAAGCATCTGGCATTCCGCCTGCTTTCACTCACTCTGTCCCGCTGCCCTGTGAAGGTGTCTGCTTCTTTTTTGCCTTCTGCCAAGATTGTAAGTTCCCTGAGGTCTCCCCAGCCATTTAGAACTATGAGTCAATTAAACCTCTTCCCTTTATAAATTACCCAGTCCCAGGTATCTTCAGAGTAGTGTGAGAATGGACGAATACAACTTCCAAAACCACATGTCCTCTTCCGTGGCTCCTGTATGTACCATTTGCAATGGAACCCCAGTCATAGGCCATCACCTTCTCTTGAAAGGTCTGTTTTGTCTTCTACAAATGTCTTTGGAGAAGGGATCTTGTTTCTTGATTTTACAAGTACCTAAGGACAGTAAAAGGGGCTGAGAACAAGTAAGGAACGTGGGAAGGAAACATGGGGTAAAATCTGGATGATCCAACATGTCTACCTATTTTCCACATTTTTAGTAAACCCACACCGTGAAGGGAAGATGGAATAATTATGGGTGGGGGGGTGGTGAAATAGAATACTCCAATCAGAGTGAAATTAAGAAATCACTCTCATTTTCCTGTTTCTCACCTCCTTACTCCCAAACGTGAAACACTGTGAGGCAAATGTTGTTGTATTAGTCAGTGTTTTCTAAAGGAACAGAATTACCAGGATAGACATGTATCTGAAATGGAGTTTATTAAGGAGTATTGACTCACACAATCGCCAGGTGAAGTCCCACATAGGCTGTCTGCTGGCTGAGGAGCAAGGAAGCCAGTCCGAGTCCCAGAACCTCAGAAGCAGGGAAGCCAGCAGTGCAGCCTTCAGTCTGTGGTTGAAGGCCCGAGAGCTCCTGGCAAACCACTGGTGCAAGCCCAAGAGTCCAAAAGCTGAAGAATCTGTAGTCCAATGTTTGAGGGCAGGAAGCATCCAGCACAAGAGAGAAATGAAGGCTGGAAGACTCAGGCCAGTGTAATCCTTCCCTGTTCCTCTGTCTGCTTTTATCCTAGTCACATTGGCTGCTGACTAAATGCTGCCCACCCAGACTGAGGGTGAGCCTGCCTCTCCCAGTCCATTGAATCAAATATTCATGTTCGGTCACATCCTCACAGATACACCCAGGAACAATCCAAGCAAGTTGACACTCAACATTCATCACCACAGGAATACATGGTGGGGATTACGGAATAGGGTGATGGGGTGGTGTGTTTCCTGAGTCAACACCTCAAAGCTCAATGGGCTGCTTCTAGAATAGATTTTTTTTAATTGAAAAGGTGATTTGTTAGATACCTCCAAACTGATTCAGTATCTTTGGCGGTAAGGCCTTGGAATCTGCATTTTTCAAAAGCACTGCCATGATTCCTATGCACAAACATGTCCTGGGAACTCCAGTTTGCCCTTCCTTCTTTCTCCCACAGGGCACTTGGGTGGTCTCCGTTTGTCCCAGGTTCAGATTTTCCAGTGGAGAGGATGTCATTGGTGTAGTCGTCATCGTGTCCTTGAACGTAGCTATTGTTCTGTGAAGTTTTCAAAGTCAACCCCACTACAGGCCCCTTTATTTATGGTTTTTCAGATCTTAGGTCATAAGATGTCCAGTCTGTTTAACTAGGCTGGTGGGAGCCTCATAGAACTTTCTGTGCTGCATACCACATCTCTGTTAGATGAAAGAGTACAGGTAGAAATGACCTGGAATGGAGCTGCAGACGTAGTCTACTCCTGTGCTGTCCAACATGAAAACCAGCAGCCCTGAGTGCACTTGAAATGTGGCTCATTCACGTTGGAATCAGCAGGAATTGTAAAAATGCAGGCTGGATTTCAGGCAGTGCCAAAAAAAAAAAAGAGTGTAAAATATCTCATTAATAATTTTTATATTAATATAATACTGTGAATATATTGGGTTCAATAAAATGTATTACTGAGATTAATTTTAACTTTTTCTTTTTTTTTAATGGGGCTACTGGAAAACTTAAAATTATGCGCATTTCACATTATATGTCCATTGCGTGTGCTAGGTTAGCTTCTCCTACAGATACAGAATATTTAAAACCATAATGCTAAGTGATAAAAATGGGATCTAAATTCATATATTTTGTAAAACTTCAATTTCTCTCTCTCTCTTTCTCTCTCTCTCTCTCTCTCACACACACACACACACACACACACACGCACACCCCAGATACATACAGTATTAAAAATTAGCATCCAAAATTCATACCCTTCAAAAAGTTCTTTAAGTCTTCCATTTAACCAGGACCATGTGTTAAGTATAGGATGCAGTGACTTCCATGCTCTAATCAAGGACATCCCATTTGTATGCCTCAGGGAAATGACACATGACTAGCATGACACTCATGGCTATGAATTACAGAACAGAGAATATTAACTCCAAAGGTGCTAAAAGACTACTTTGAATGTAAGTGTCATCCATGGTCAACACTGGAGAATAAGCTATTTATTTGCATTCTAAAACTATCAAGCATTCTAATTCAAACCTCATGTGTAAAATATGGCCTGGTACCACACAGCCTTCATATACTCCGGAAGAAGATACAGAGGGTCTGAGAAACTGGGCTGCTTATGTAAACCAAATTCCCCAGGCCAACACAGAAGTCAGGAGGAGAGATTCAGTTTTAAGTAAATACAAGCGTTGAAACAGTAGCTGCCCCGAGCCCCAGGCGTTGGTGAGATTCCGAATATTCCTTCCTTCTCTGCCCCCTGGTTGTGCTTGTTCCCTTTGAAGAATAATTAAGATTTAATGGCATAGTCTCGCAGTTTTTTGTCTGCCTGCTTTCTGACTGCCTACTGTGCAGAATGCTCGCGTTTGATCCCGGTCATTGCAAGAACTGTACAGTAATTGCCTATCTGGTGACTCGTTAATGGAGGTCCCCAGAGAGCCAGAACGCTGCTTGTTTGAAGTTCATCTTGTTTACTGTTGGCCCTTCTGGTTTAATCTATATCATCAGAGAGTCTTGCTCAATTATTGGCAGCTCAATCTCTTCTCACTGGGACACGGGCACTGGGTAAACACATTGTTTTTTCTTTTGCTTCTTCTTCTTCTCTTTCATTCTTTTTTTCCTTTTTTCTTTTTAAAAATATGTCTTCTTGTCTTAACTCACATGGGTCCACCTCGATAAAGCATGTTGTTATCATGGGCCAGGGGATCTGTTGAGCACCTGTGAAGCAGTTCTTCAGACCTTCCCCAAAAGATAGCAGTTTGGAGGGCAACCAATCAGGTGGAATGGTTCTGCTGTCCATTGCAGGACAAAATGACTTCCGCCCATCCTGTAGCATCTGAGTGAGAGAGTGCTTTCTCCAGGAGACCTATTTGACACTGCAGACCCAGCTCTGGCTGGTTTATTTGCCTGCTCACTCCTGTTGTTATTATAACACTTCTCACTATTAACTTGGGTCATTTGTGAAATTTTTGTCCCTCTAAACACGGGAACCCCAAACAACCTAATGTTACATCTTTATTTCTCAAACCCCCGTGTTAAGAAGCCTTCCAAGAGCATGGTTAAGATGTGTTTGCAGAATTAAGTGGGCACTCTCTAGGTCATGCTAAAGTTACTCTGTCCTTTCTAAGGAAGGAAAAATTCCTCACTGGCTACCAGAGTTCCATGCCATTCCTCCCTTAACTCTTATTGTTGGGAAATAGATTAGAAGAAATTTCTAAAATAGGAATTGGGATGTAATTGTGATAGGGGTCGCTGTTGCTGTTAGGATTAGCACAGACCGAAGTTAGGGGTCAGGAGCCACGTAAGGACTTAGAGGCATCCTGGCCAGGATGCATCTGAAGGCTTTCAGCAGCTTAGATGGGGATAGCAACTCCAGTTGACCCAACAGCACTTTTTTTTTTGAGACGGATTTTCTCACTCTTGTTACCCAGGCTGGAGAGCAATGGCGTGATCTTGGCTCACAGCAACCTCCGCCTCCTGGATTCAAGCAATTCTCCTGCCTCAGTCTTCTGAGTAGCTGGGACTACAGGCGTGTGCCAACATGCCCAGCTAATTTTTTTCGTATTTTTAGTAGAGACGAGGAGGTTTCACCATGTTGACCAGGACGGTCTCCATCTCTTGACCTTGTGATCCTCCTGCCTCGGCCTCCCAAAGTGCTGGGATTATAGGCATGAGCCACCGTGCCTGGCCAGCACTTCTTAAAATTAGACCTAAGCAGAGCATCTCAGAGTTGTTCCCATGATTAATATCTGAGCATTGGAAGCGAGAAACACGCTTCCACATGGAGATACATGATTAAAGATGAATAGACGCAAGAGATGAACGAAAAGACACACTGTTGTTAATAAGGTTCAAGATCCTGAATCCAACTTAAACTCTAGACTTAACCATTATATGAGAAAGTATTTTTTCTTTAGTTGATTTGATCTAATTATTTCCAAAATAATCTTAATGTGTGGAATTGCATATAACATGAATAGCACCGCAATCCTGATATAAACATGTTTTGTACATTTGGATAACCTTGAATTGGAAAACTTGTAACAGCAATACATTTCAAGTTCAACTGAAAATAATTATTTCAATCATACTTCCATTTGGTCAGTGGTAGGAAGTTCCTTTCCTAAGTCAGGCAGTGTGGTAAAAGCATTTTTCAAGTATTCATTGATTTAACCTCATAACAATGTCACATGACTTAATGACTTTTGTTACTATTTTTAGCTTTATTTAAGGAGAGAGAAACCAAGGTTAAGAGTGGCCAAACAGTATTTGTCAATGTTGTGGATGAAATTCACATGGAGGTTTCTCTGTCTGCAAAACTCTTCAAGATTATGAGACATTTGTAACAATAATAATAAAATTACCTGTATTTCATTGTTTACTATGTAGAATGAGTAAGTAACCACGCTTAAAGTTAAGGTTTATAAGGTAATTCATGTAAAATATCATGTTATACTCTTTTTAGATTATTTCATTATCCTCATAATTTTTCAGTGGGAATTAATTTTGCCATTTTACTGATAGGGCCAGAGACTCATTCCCCACCCGTAAATGTAAACGTTTATCCGAGGTCCCATAGCAGATGAGTGGCCAAATTCACATGTGAACTCACTTCTCACTCTAGTTCATCCAAGGTGAAACTTTATCCTTAGGTAAACTCATTTTCAATACTTGAGCAACTTCTCTCAGGAATGCACACATCACCAGGAACCCCAAGTCCAATTTAGAAAACCTTATTAGTCTAATAAGACTTCAGTTCCATCAGCATAATTGGCAGGCACCTCAGTCGCAGACAGTCTAATTACTCTGTACTGGATTCCTCATTACTGGGCTTGGAGGGGAGGCAAACTGCAGAGAGAGAAGGAAATACTTGTCAGAAAGTGCAGTTGTAGCCTGAGACCTCCCCGCAAGGCCAAACCGTGTTGCCTAAGATCTTGGGGGTGTTGGAAATGTGGGAGAGGACATTATTGCACCGTTAGCCTTCTACGTTTGTGTTGTTTGGGGGCAAAACAGCCAAAAGTTAATATCCAGATTGCATTACAGGAATTAAGACTTTTAGAGAACTTCCACAGCAAGGAAAACCTCAGAACTCAGTTGCATGCTTAGCCTTAAATTACTTTGTTTCTTCTAGAAATGTAGAGTGTAAAATTAGCTTTTCTTGAGAACTAAAAACAACTGTAGCAAATGTACAGTTGACACCCTATGATTTTTAGACATCAAATCGTCTTCTTTTGGGGGAGGTAAAATATTACCCTTGCTTTCTTTCTTTTTCTTTTCTTTTTTTCTTTTTTTTTTTTTCTGAGACAGACTCTTACTCTGTTGCCCAGGTAGGAGTACAGTGGTTCAGCCTCGACTCACTGCAACCTCTGCCTCCCCATTTGAAGTGAGTCTCCTGCATCAGCCTCCTAAGTAGCTGGGACTACATGCATGAGCCACCATGCCAGACTAATTTTTGTATGTTTAGTAGAGACTCGGTTTCACCATGTTGGCTAGGCTGCTCTCGCAACTCCTGACCTCAGGTAACCCACATGCCTTGGCCTCCCAAAGTGTGGGGATTACAGGCGTGAGCCACCGCACCCGGCGTCTAGCTTTCTTTTCTACCATCAAAACTAAGATGATATTTTCAATGGCTTCTGTAGAATAAACTCCTAAAAATAAAAAGGATAACTCCCAGGCTCTGTGCATCTTTAAAGCATTGGACACATGTTGCTAAATTATCTACCATAATCGTTCTATAATAATAACTAATGATTATCAGTTGGGTAGAAAATTAAAGAAAAAAACCTAGGTTGAAATTCTGCCTGTTATATTTACTTGCTGTTTGACCCTAAACAAGTCATTGAAAGACTAAACTTTTGCAGAATGGTGATTAAAAAAATAATAGTGGTAACAATACGAGTATTGCCTAAGATGGTCATGGTGAAGGTTGAATAAATGTGCTAAGGGCTGGATAAATATTGCTTTGGTGTACATGTAACAAGCTCCAGTAACACACTGCAATACGTGCTCTAACGGTGAAACCCCCAGGGTGCTTGAGAGCCAGTGGGAGGATCAGATAAACAAGACCTGAATACCAAGGTAGGCTTTCTGAAGGAGGTGACGTCTTAACAGAATGGGTTCCAATTGACTTTTGCCACTTGACACATTTCATGGACTCCTAAGACTCAAATCATGGTTTTCCAGCCCACATTCCACATCAGTCAGCCTCCTGCCTCCTCAGAAGAACTGCTCAAACAGTGCCCTAGCTCTAAAAAGACACCAGCTTTCAGAAAACAATACATTTTATTGTTTCATGTTACACCAATATCCACCAAGTCAAATATTTTTGTGTATTTTCTGTATTATGCTGTCCCCATTTTATAAGCTGTTGTAATTTTAAAAATTAATTTATTTTTAATTGACAAATAATAATTGTATATATTTATGGGATACAATATGATGTTTTCATCTGTGTGTACATTGCAGAAAGATTCAGTCAAGCTAAATAACATACCTGTCACCTCACTGCCTTATCATTTTTTGGTGGTGAGGATTTAAAAAATCTATTCTTATAGCAACTTTGAATTGTATAGTACATCATTATTAACTCTGATCACTATGCAGTATTATGCAGTATAATCGCTTTCCAGTTTTCTTTTGTTTCTTCTCTTTTTTTTTTTTTTGAGTTGGAGTTTTGCTGTCACCAGGCTAGAGTGCAGTGGTGCAATCTCGGCTCACTGCAACCTCCACCTCCGGGGTTCAAAAGACTCTCCTGCCTCAGTCCCCTGACTAGCTAGGACTACAGGCATGTGCCACGATACTCAGCTAATTTTTGTATTTTTAGTAGAAACTGATTTCACCATGTTGGCCAGGATGGTCTCACTCTCTTGAGTTTGTGATCCACCCGACTCGGCCTCCCAAAGTGAGTCCAGTCATTTTCTAAAACTTCCTGCCTGTCTAATTGAAACTCTGTGCCCCTTGAGAAATGTCTTCCTTTTCCCAATCCCTCCTCCTCTCCACCCAGCCTCTGATATCCATCTTTCTCCTCTCTGTGTCTGTGGAATCTACTTTTTTAGATTCCACATAGAAACAATTTCATAATTTAAAAACAAAACCTTTAAACAAGATGTCACCACAGCATGAGAAGAAGCCCAACTCGGGAGTAAAAGCCACTTAGTTGTGTGTACATGTCCGAGAGGGTTATTATGTCCCTGTGTTCTCTAAACAAAGCTTCTAAAGGAATTTTCTCTAAAAGCACCATTATGAACTCAACTCAACTTTACAAACACATGCACCCCGGGGACTCTCCCAAGACCACATTATTCCACTTCATTTCTACTCACAACTCATTATATCAACGAGCCAGTAGGTGTAACTGTTCCACACACGACCATTTCAAGGAAATCATTATTGGCTGATGGACTAATCTCTCAATTTGTCTTACTTCATTCTTAAAAAAAAAAAAAGGAGAATGATATCTATTCATGTTTGGACATGCACATGTTCCAGAATATTCATGATAGACTGGACACATGGCTTTAATGTTCTTTCATGTCTTTTTCTGGTCATCCTCTAACAATTGTAATACTATATATCTGACCTGTCCAATATTTCCAAAATTAACAAGAGGCAGTTTGAGATTATTGGAAAACAGTTGTATTTCAAGTCAGGAAAGCTGGATTCTAATCACAGTCTTGACATTGGAATCCAAAGTAAGTCATATGCCCTCTCTGGGTTGTTTCTTCTGGTTTAAAATAAAAATGTATTGAGGAGTTCAGTTGTCTATAACGAAAAAGAAGGAAGGAAGATGGAGGGAGGGAGGGAGGGAAGGAAGGAAGGAAGGACAGATGGATGGATCCGTTTATTTCTGTCTCATATAAAAATAGCCCAGGAAGGAAGGACGGACAGACAGATGGATGGATCCATTTATTTCTGTCTCAAATAAAAATAGCCCAGTGTAGGTAAGTCAAGAGTGGTACCTTGACTTTGGTCTCTACGGTTTCGGAGACCTAGACTTTTAAATCTTATGACTCCACTGTCCTTAGCATGTTGACTTCATGGTACCAGAGAGCTGACGTAGCTCCTGCCATCACAGCCAGGTTCCAGCCAACAAGAAGGAGAGAGGACACACTCTTCTTTTTTAAGGAGACTCTCCAGAAGACTCTTGTGACACTTCTACCTGTAGTCCTCTGGCTAGCATTTAGTTACACATCACACCTAGCTTTGAGAGAGTTTAAAGAAGAATAAACTTCTGGCTTGGAAGTCACGTGTCTAGCTGCAAACCTGAATTCTGTGACTAAGAAAGAGGAACGAAGGGAAGGATGAACATCAGGTAGCAGCCAGCATCCTGCTTCCGAGCATTAGACCATGCCTGGCCCAGAGGCTAAAACAGGAAAATTCCAAGATACCCGAGATTAATGTACAATATTTTAGTATTTTCATTCACGAAAGAATGACAAGCAGGACACTTAATGCAACTCCTCTTGTCTGTTTCAGCATATATATTTTTTACCCAGACCGACACAGGTCACAAGAATGACTCTGCAGAGCTTTGGAAACGTTTCCTAATTCTGTGCCTCCCCTAACTACAGAAATGCCCAAATTCTATGAAAAGGGAGCCAGATAGGAACAGTACAGGAGAAAGAAAATACAATGGTTTGCCTCAGAAATGGTTCTCTTTTCCCTCTGATGTCTCCTACTTTCATTTAGGAAAGTTTATAGCATCTTATGACCAATTATTTTATGCATACAAACCTAAGAAATGGATACTATTCTAGCCTCCTTGGAGCATGAATCTGTAAAGTCCGGTTGACTGCTCGTGTAGCATAGAACTCACGCACCAACCGAAAGCAAATGTGAGAAGGAATTTAAAAGCCTCACTTGAGGGTTCAGTGGAAGAGATAAGGAAATGCTGGTCGGGCACGGTGGCTCATGCCGGTAGTTCCAAAACTTTGGGAGGCTGAGATGAGAGAATCATTTGAGCCCCGGGGTTTAAGACTGGCCTGGGCAACACAATGAGATTCCATCTCTACCAAAAAAAAAAAAAAAAAAAATCAGCTGGGAGTGGTGACACATGTCTGTAGTCCCAACTACTTGGGAGGCTGAGATGGGAGGATTGCTTGAGCCCAGGAGGTTGAGGCTGCAGTGGGCTATGATTGCATCACTGAACTGCAGCCTGTATGACAGAGCAGACCCTGTCTCAAAAAAAGTAATAATTTGAAAAAAAAAAAATTTAAATAGAAAATAGTGACCGCTTTTACCCATACTTCTTAAGTAGGAAACTCTTGCTATGCCCCCAATTATGTCTGATGTCACCCTAATAGGGCTTATAGAGCCGCATAGATCAGAAAGTGGGATCAGGGACGTTAAATAATGACCAGAGTGAAAACCTGCACCATGTAGCCCAAAAGCAGTGCTAGCAAATTCTTTGAATTCAGATCCTGTCAATCTTGTGTGGTATTGTATCCCCAGTACCTAGCTGAGTGTCCAGCATCTGTGATCAATAAGTGTTCTTTGATTGAATGAATGAGCAACTGAATGACTAACTCCAAAGTTCATGTTCTTTGCCTGGATCCGTCTCCCACCATGATTAGTGCTGTGCTTTCCCTGCTAGAAATATTTGGCAAATCGGAAGGTGATAAAACCTACAATGGAGCAGATTCCCACAGCGCTGCAGAATTGGAAACCGCATCTTATCACTGCATAATGGCCCTGGTTCTATTTCCCACATCACAGAGAATGCAGCCTACAAGAGATTGAGTTACTCCACACAAAGACTTCACAGGAGGAAGAAAAAAAAAAGGTTGTTTTGATTCACTCTTTTTTTTTTTGCCATTTCAAACACAACAATGCACATTTTCATCAGAAGC